TAGTTTCTTTTTCCAGCCCAGTAATTGTGATACTGTTTTTGGTTGTGTTCATAACCCTTATCTCTTTATTCTCCCCGACGGGGTAGTAACTAATTTGATAGTAAGTTATAAGACCATTTTGTKCGAATACAATCCAGCTTAGATGAACAGAAGTAGAGTTTAATACTTTAGCTGTCATCTCCAAAGGTACACCAGGGACTACAGACAGAGAGTTTGAAAATCAGTTASAAATTATCTTAGTTGTTATAAGTTATTTTGTAGTTTAAACTAATTATGTGTTTTGTTRGAACGTTTAGGAAGCAATTTGTACGGACATACTGAGGTTATATGAAAATGGTGCTAGAGATACGACGGATGCAGAGGTTGGAGGGCAAGAAGATAGAAGTTGTAAACGACATTAAAAATAAGGTCCTTGCGCAATTTTTTTTGCAATTTGTGAAGAAAAAAACACACACTTACCTGATTCACTTGTTCTTTTTGTAAGTTTTGCATACTTAGGCTTTTCGCCATTCTTCTCTGCTAATTGTGTGACTCCATTCATTGAAAACACTTTGAATTGGTAATAGGTGAACACAGACAGATGTTTCACAGTGGATTTTCTGCTGTTTTTCGGGGAGTGGATGATTTCCACTTTATCACATTTTCCGGTGCAATTTTTGTCATCATTGCCACACTTTCGGCACTCCACTTGATAGTAATCGTCTGTCCGTCCWCCGAGATCGGAGGGGGCCTTCCATTGTATGACAACTAATGTTGCATTGATAAATGATGCCATTATATCTCGAGGCTCGGAAGGCTGTCCTAAGAATAGAAAGCATAGCTGTAGGATTCTTTCTATTATGACTTTTTCGAATTTTAACGACGTTTCGTGTTCCCGTAGGTGATAGTAATGATAAGTTGTCGTTGCTGCAGTTGTTATTTAAGCCTGTGTACATCCCGGTTTCCCACCCTTCCCTCCCTGCGGGGAAAATTCGGGGAGGAAACGTCGTTCTCTCCCCGATTTTTTCGGAGGGGTGAGAAACGGATGTACACAGGCTATTGTTATTTCGACTATACTGTTCATTACGTGTTTTTGGAGCAGAAACAACATTAAGTTGAAAAATACCAATCCAGTTAACGATTCAGCGCTAGTTTAGATGTCAGTAATATCTATTAACTCTAATATTCCGAAAAAAACTGTTACGGCCCTATGAAACTCAATATTACAATTACCAAACGAGTAGCAATGAACTTTTGAAATTTGCTAAAATAAGAGCTTTTTCAGGGTTTTTTTCACCCTAAGAGCACGCTCTGGAATTATACTAATGCTCTTTTCTGTCCCGGGATCCGTTTCTCGATTGCTGCAAACTGCATCGAGATTCACCAGTCCACCAGTTCTTTCTAGAATTTCAAGAAGGCCAATGGTCAAAGCATAACAGCAAAGTGCTCGATCCTAACGATCACTGCTACTTACCAGTACAATTATCGAATATAGTTTCGTCGTTTGTCCTATAGAAGAGCCTTTCACAAATACATTCCTTTTTGTTACTATCCTGTACACTGTTTAGTGGACAAGGTTTACATGGTTTGCTAGCCGGTGCATTTTGGTAGGTATCAGGTGGACAATCTACACAAGAAAAGGATAAGTATAACGTATAGCACTGCTGTTAAACTGCCTACTTCAAATTAGGAAACATTTTCAGGGAAACATTACCGGTTTTATCTTTTTACACAACTTTATCAGCCAATAGACTAAGCAATAGGTTTTTCAAACAATACAATTTTTCCCTTCAGAATTCTCCAAATTTCTGTTTGCAAAGATTTTAGCATTAAAAAGGGACTTGAAGCTTTTTGAACGCTATTTTAGCTCGTACCCAAAGACCATCGGTAAATTCAGATTCTATACGCCTTGCAGTAATTAGAAAGCACTGTGGGCGCCGTTCAAATATTCTTCATTCTTTTGGAAATAGCTAACAACCTGTGATAAGCGTACCTTTACAAACTGCACCAGATCCATTCAAGTATCTTCCATAGCCTGCTTTACACAAACACTGATCACTTATCACCTCCATTATCCATTCTCCGTTAGCTTTGCAATTTCCATATAAGGTCGCATTGTCAGCCAATGGTTGCGCATTCGCAGCACAAGAGCCTGGTACCCGAATTGTACCGTTAGCTGGGGCTATAGTTTTTGGTAATTGGATGAGACCAGTAGGAAGAGCTAACGATGGACAGACCGAGTAACTTATGGTGACACTGTACAACTCAAAACATCCTCCTCGATATTGCAAAGCGATGTAATAATACCGAGTTGTTGAGTTTGTAAGGAATGAATAGGTGTCATTATTTGCAAAACTTCGAGACAAACTTCCAGAGGTGTCTAAGATCTTTGGAAATGTGGTTCCGAACAAATGATAGACTTTAGGCTTAACCCAAGGCTCTGGAATTCCACTGGTTGAATGCTCTATTGCAGTCTTATAAACGTAAAGGTTAACATGTTCTTTGCAGTATTGTATAGACGGCACACTAGAACATTTAGAAACTGCATATTGAACAGTGACATCGATTCTTTTTGCATCACCAACCAGGAACACATTGCTCCTTATCCACTTGTTTGGTTCATTGGCTGATTTTACATCACATACTTGGTAAAACACTTTACCATCTCCATCTGTCGTACTAGTCCACTATAAATTTAATATAGCAAGTATTTATAAGATCATTTTTTTTGTTATTTTTGATACCACAATTATGTTTGGCACTGAAATTATTTTTAATGAGAATGCATTGCTTCTTATCCACTTGTTTGGTTCACTGGATACGCTTATGTCACACACTTGGTAAAATACTTTTTCTCCACGTTCTGGCGGACTTGTTGTCCACTAAGAAAATAAAATATATATACACCTGTACTGAGATACTAAAGAGTCCTTTCAATATATCCATGGCTGAAATGGTTTGCAAACTCAAAGCCAATTAGAGGAAATTCTTTGTCTTCTATTGTTCAATTTATTAGTGCAATTTTGTGCAATTTCTCACAAAATATTTCACGGATATATTAAATGTACTCTTAGTGTGATGCACTTAAACCGTGCAACTGTAGCCGAAACTAAATAGTGTATTTAGTAAGTCGTGCATGCGGTACGCAAATTAAATTGAATTGATACAAATGAAGCATTCTATACCGTCTTGCTTCATGTCCAGTATTAAAATACTACTTAGATTTTGTACAGTTGCAAGGTTTTAGTGCGATCACTCTATCAGGATCATCAGGATAAAAAATTATGCAATTAAAGTAGCTTACACTTTCTCCACGAAAGTAGTATCTATAAAAGTTTCATTTATTTATTTATTCTTAAAAAAATAAAATTCGTCCGTAGAATGCATAAAATGAAAATACAATAAATAATACAATAATAATACAATAAAAGAAAAAGACGCTTAGTTGACGGAGAATAGCAAGCAGCACTGCAGGAAAAGTCGACTTACAATTCAGTTTCTCAATAATATTGGAATACTCGACCCCTCTAATTTGAATTTTCTAATATATGAATGAGTCTTACTTCTTACGTTACGAACCACAATAATATACAATGTTTTGCACCACACTTTCTTAAATTTTATATTAATTATTCAGCGTTACCTGACTGTTCCAGGACCATATCCATTTAGATTGTGAATTCTTATATGGCTTTTCAATAATATTTTCTAATATAAAGAAATAAATATAATTTAATTAAATATCGTAAATGCACATAATACTTATTCTTATTATTATATACATTTTAGGGATGTTTGATACATTACGCAGTGATATTTTACACGTTGGTGGAAGTCGAGGCAAAGCACAGACAAAGAGTAAACGGGAACCACCCATACTATTTATATAAACATTAGTGTTTTCATATGATCTCTGTTAGTAGAAACACGTCAGGTCGTTAGGAGAACGCACAAAAGGCACTGAATCACGAGCTGAAATATGCTTTTACAAAATAACAACAACTCTTCTCCTGAAAGCCATGTAACTATACTCTCATAATTACATGGGCTTCCTGTGGAAGCTCATGTCTTAATCTACCTTCTGTTCAATCTATCTATCAACGTCGCGTATAGTCCCCCATGATGTTTTACGAACTTAAAAATGGTCACGTGGCCTGATAACACAGGAGACCCAAATTCACTTAAAACAAAATGGCTGACAGACGGTTGAGACGGCGGCAAAAAGTTGTCTCGTTTTAAATGGGTCTAAAATGTAGCTAAAATACTCTAAAGAGCTGAAAATCTAACAAAATCAACTGACTAACATCCAAATGACATGGAATAAGGTATATAATTCAAGGTTGTCGTATGATTCGTGCAGAAATGACTGGGCATTTCTACCGCCGACACGAAGAACAAAGTTATCAAAGTATAAATTGCGTGATTCGCGGTTCGAGCCCTCATGAAGCCGTAAATTTTTTCTACTTCATTTCTTGAGACTTTTCAAGACTTTCTTTTTCTTTTCTTTTTTCTTTAATTAGTATAAACAGTTTTATGAATAAAGATTGATTTTTAAAGCCATTTTTATATTTTCCCCCCTCGTAAATAAAAATAGACAAGGGAGGTAACTCAGCGATCGAAATTTGCCAACCTTTAACTTCATCCAATGGACATCAAACTCCGTTCAGACAATTTGGTGCAGTCTTTTCAAAGTTTAAATGGGTTTACAGAAACATTGAATTAARGCATAAAAATTGCTACTGCTCTTATAGCTATAGCAAACAATCAAACAGCTGTTAAAAACAATATAGCAGAATCACAAAACATTGTTGAGAGHTGTTTTGCAAAATCCCTTTATTCTATTTTTTTATTTGATCATTACAATCTGCAATATTTATAGGACAACAAATACATTTACATTGCAATTGAAAGACGTAACTCGCAATGCAACTTCTCTAAATCTGAATTGTTCCTGAAACACAGATTTTTAGTACTCAAATAAAAAATAACATTGCTAGAAAACAAACCTTCATTAATGGTTGCATGGAAAAGTAATAAATCAAATACTGATGAAAATAGATAGGCTCCAGACTTTATTTTCTCCATGAAAATGCATCTCAATTGGAAATTGCTTCAGGAAGCCCATGTAAGAGCTCTCTGAGCGTCTAGTTCAACAACAAATTTTCGACCGCTCTCTTCAGTGGAATGCCGGCCACGTGACGCGATAGCGCCCAAAGAGGAGGGGTACTATAAGTGCAAAGATAATTTCAAAACATTTTGCCTTGTTGAATTACTGCGTTCTCGTGCGACTATTTGTTTTTCGGAATATCCACTTTGGTGTACAAATATCACAGCGCATAATACTTTATTGTTAAATAGAAATACATAATTTCTGGTTTTCAATCTGAATCTTTAATCAAGATTCATGATAAGAAGAAGACCTGTGTGACCATGTTAGTTGAAGCACCATCACATGACTACCGTGACCCAAAACCAGCATGTGAAAAAAAGGCTTGTTTAAATCAAGGACTAGATTTGAAGCAATTTTAAAACAGTGTCTCAGGACGAGAATGGTAACAGGCACTCTAAAGTCTGGTTCACGCGAAGACGTAAGCACAAACGCAAGTCGAGAACAAAAGAAAAGAAAAGACTGAAATACCGTCAATATGGGCCTTTTTCCAGTTCAATACGAGCTACCGCTGTATTAGTAGACAACAGACCACTGGGCGCCCAGGCTCAGCACATGTATTTCTTTCACGGCGGAGTCAATGTACAGTTTGCGTGGTGTGCGGTTCGATCCCTAGTCCTTCATTTTCTAAAACTTTTCAAGACTTTTTCTTTTTTTCTTCTTCTTTCCTCAATAAGTATAAACATATAACAGACATATAACAGACTCACTTGCGTAAAGAACAAAAGAAAGCACGAAAAAATGTTGACATTACAATAGCTCTAAAAATTTGAATCTTCTCCGATTTGAGGCTTAGCCTGAGCAAGAATAGCCGAGTTTAGATATTTTGGCTCAGTGACCATGCACAAAAGAATTGCAGACGAGGCTCCGGGGAAATAAAGAATAAAACGATATTRTRCKCTCTTTGATTGGTCATTTTGAAGCGTGCACTTCAAAATAACTCTTTGCAATATTAAAAAAAAATAAAATTATCAGTGGATAATCTTGATTTATTCTTTATTTCCCCGGAGCCTCGTCTGCAATTCTTTTGTGCATKGTCACTGAACCAAAATATCTAAACTCGGCTATTTGAGCCTTCTGGGAGCATAGATACGGGAAAAAGGCGTAATTTCCGATATAAGTAAAATTCTAGGCATAACTCTTTAGAAACACCAGAACACACTGGTTTGCTTTCTTATTCCTAAATCTGTTGTGTTTTCTTTTATTAACTGGAAATCATGGAAGTCATGTGAACTAGGCCGAGCGAATTGGTCTTTCGCGCTTTTAAAATACGATGCACATACCAGTTTCAGCTTGACACCACGCTATGAAAACAGAGGCAAGGATTAAACTTGACAATGCAGAAGGAAGTGCACACTTCATGCCAGGAAAAGTAATCTGCAAAAAAGAATAAAAGCACCAATGTCAAACAAATAAGGATAAGATAAGGAAGAAGGGAGAGGTGAGAGCTTTTATGAAAGCCAATAATGCTCTGTAGGCGTGAGTAAATGTGTGACGACTTGTATTGTAAATTGGTAGGAATAATTGTTCAATATAACTATCCTTTAATCGACTTGATCAGTATTATTTTTGTTATGCCCGCATCCAGTTTATTTTGATGAGTCAGCATCAAGACCTTCTATATATTCAATGCTTCAATGCTCTCTTATATCGTCTAATATCATAATTCAAGATCAAATATAACAAAGCAATCAATTTAACTAGAATTGCCACAAATCGATTTCTTTGGACGCAAGAAATTAATTAAGAAGAAGCAGTCGAGTGCTGAGGGAAAATTCGAAAATAAAGAAACCAAAAAAGAGAGGGAAGGGGGTGCCGGGTGATAATGGATATTTTAAGTCAGACAATCAACCATTTTAAAAATGAAGTAATCCATTATCGGTGTTATACACAATGAATTAAATTTATTGACAACCACTTTCTATGTATTTATGTACTGGAAGGAATAACTTTGCAAAAGATCTTGAATATTGTGGTTCCTTATATAGTTAATAAGGGTTACGATAAATCATAATTGGCGAGGAACTTTGACAATGAGAGAGAAGATTAACATAGCATGTAAAATTAGGGTCAATATTATATAAAATCAGGTATACTACTAGTTTTATCGCAATAGTTTATGGTGGTCTGACATCTCGACTAATAAATGGCATTCTAAAAATTGTAAAAGCACTTAAAACAATAAGCTTATTTAGACACGTGATAGAATATCCATCAGCAATAGGAAAGAAGTCGTGTTTAATCCAGTCATTATAACCCATGTACCGACTACGAAATCTAAGGAAATACTTCATATAATTTAAACACAGAGTAGACTAGCTTGTGTATACAATTATAATTTCATATTCAAGACATATGTTTGCCTTATTATATATTCTCAACTGGTAAAAGCATTCAGCATTTCAGTACTTCCTACGTCTGTGATACACTGAAATAGTCAGCAAAAATTACTAGCGTTTTGTTCGAATCTTACTCTATCGAAGCCTGCTTTCGAAACTTGATATATCTGTAAACATAAACTGAATATAAAAGCGTTAGTACTTACCTTATAAACGAAGAAAATGGCCGACTTTATGCTAGATTTGGTAGCGATAACTGTCCATGTTGATTTATCAAAGAAGTGATGTCACTGAAAGTATGACACTTCATGGATCGTATCACATGGAGAATGTCACGCAATTGAATAAATGCGTTATGCACACTAAAGACGTAATTTTATCGTGCTTAAAAAAGCTAGTAAACTTTGGTTAGCAACTGCTTTTTATACATGATTTTGTGTTAATCGTGATGTATATTCTTTAAAAGATTCCCGGTTCAATGTGTTTCTTCTTTCAGCCTGTACAACACCGCCTTTAGCTGTAACGTTACAGTTATACTATAGTTACTTTATTTCCTTATGGAAACTACCATATCATGCCTTTCTTTTCTTTTTTTTTTCATCTCTCGGGTAGTATTTTTCCAAAGAGGAATTATTTGCAAAGAATAGTAACTAGGTAATTGATATCTAAACATACTTATAAAGGTGAACAAGGATTTGATGAGAAAAATTGTTTTTTGGTAAGAATTTCCGCATACTATGCGAGCGAATCATCATTAACCTGCATTTATGATAAGGTCAGCTTTTGAATAAAGGACTTTGTTTTGAACAAAAACATCTGCTTTCTGAATTGCTAATTTAGAGTTGTATGTTGTATGCTCTTCTACCTTTGAATAACTAAATAGGCAATTAAGAATGTAAGATTCCGCTTTAGTAGTAAATACCACCTTGAATTCGTGAAATTTATAGACAGCTTATTATCGCCGAGAGTGGATATATAACGTGTATTTTATAATCTCACTGTAAATAATATAAAAATTTAGAAAATGACTTTTCTGGAATTATATCAGACGTCTTCCATGATCTTTGCCATGAGATCATACAAAAAAATGTGCATTTTCAAGCAAGTATACATAATGTCTTAGCACCCCGGAAACATAAGCATTTTGCCGTCGGCATTTAGTTTATCCAAAATGTTTGATAAATGTTTCACTTTATTGACAATTTAAATTAATCCAGATAGAAATATTTCATAAAACCTTGAATACTGAATTCTACATATTCTGTAAAATAAAAAGACATTGTTACATTGTTGCTATTAAACTCTACTTTAGCTGCGTTACAAAACAACGATTATAAACTTGATTGCCTTCGACTAGTGATACTATATGAATGTATGGAGCTGATATGCTGAGCATGAAACCACGAAAACACCTTTTTTCAACGGCGCTTCATCGACCCCAGAAATGCATTGCGGTCTTGAAATATACTGAAATATATCTCCAGTATTCAACATTTTCTGAAATAGCTGTGTACGGAGAGAGAAAATCGCGATTACGATTAATTGCTTGCATGACATCAACCATTTGCATGCCGCTGTGCCCGTAAGATGTCTAGATGTGGCTGAGGCTAGAAAGCTATATCGTAACCGCATTCTTGGAAAAGCCGGACAATCAACATCCATATTTTTTGCAAACAATTTATTAAAACGAAAGATTAGCGCTACTATACAACTTCGATGGCAAAATGCCAACAATTCAACAACACTAACATAGTCCTCCTTACTATTAAGAACAAAAAATACATTTGTACAAAATTAGAATTATCTGTGAATAAGATATAATAGTTTCCTCTCTTCGGTTTTAAATGTTAAATTCCAGTCAACAAATTCATTAATTTTATAGCGCGTAGACTCGTTAATACCGCGACCATGACCTTGYCAATTTAAGGATCTTTGAAGTGCTCGTATTTTTGCTCGCAACTCGCACATGYGCATCTCATAATGACGGTCAATCYYTCATCCTTAAAAGATATCTCCCATTGAGATTTCTCCACATCGATAATAATGAATACAATTATGTCGATACCAAGCAATATCTATATTCAAAGCATAAACCGAATCGTGCAAGGAATCATTGTACGTTGATTTGTAAGATTTTTTGACATTTTTCATTCACCCAACTCAAACAAAAGCTTCTTCCTCCCCTTTGTCAGCAAAATGGTCACGTTCGGGAACTTTCGATTTTCTTTTCATTTTCTTAATGCTCTTGCTTATTTTATTGCGGTGSCCAATCAGGTTGACTCCAATTCTAGTGAGATCATCGTCTTTAATCAATTTCACATGCGCAATGTCCACATATCCCGCRTCTTYGAAKGAATTCGCATAGCGAGTCATGCTGATGCTCTCCAACCATTCTTGGACCGGTGTTTCGTCTTCGAGGTCAATGCTAACATTTGTGCTGAAAAACAATGTATTSAGTAGCATTTAAGTCAGCCTTACCTATACTTTTGGATCTTCAGGCATTGTAGGAAAAGAGAGGATGAGAATTGAGTAGGTTTCGCAAGATACGGATATACTGGATTTAGAGCTGAGAGGGTTGACGCCAGTTTTGCTCGATATTGGCTCTTGGTGTACGGASTCAGCACTAAAAATAGCTTATTCTTATTTAGGCTATGTTTTAAGGCGAAATTAGAAAATTAGAAATAATCTCTTCGTGATCTAAGGCCAGGTGCTCATCTTATGTCGCTCGATCATCGGCCGGGAAGAAGTCACAAAGATCAACAGAAAATATTATCCCGGAAAAGTTTGCGTATACACAGTCATTTTTTCAAAACAGTATATTAGGAAATAAGTTATTATCCAATTATGATGATCGACGTATATAAACATCTGTGTCGGCCATTTGGGTGCACGGGCAGCACAATTAAAAATATCTGTCATTACTTTTAACCTCAAGCGTTGGTGCACGTATTAATAACTTATGTATATTCATAAGTTGCATGACTTACTTTGCGTAACGTGCATTTGCCGAGTCATCAGTTATCTTTTCTGGAGAGAATATCAGTTCTTCAAGTCTTTTTACGATTTCAGCAAACTTTGGTCTATTGTTCTTGTCTGCTTCCCAACAGTCCAACATAATGTTATGAATTGACTTGGGACAATCCTATTTGTGGTAAAATGGAGAGTATTACTGACCGATAATAACTTACACGAAAACACCTGCAATAACTGTTCTTTTTAAATTCGGAATGTAAATCAATAAACTATGTTATTATCTGTCACTTTTTCAATGCAGATATCCCTTCGATCGGAAACAAATGGAYCTTTCTTAAGTTGTAATTTTTTTGTGAAGTTTTTGTTAAATTTTCTGGATAAATTGTAATTGTTGCCATAAAATGATAGCAAAAGCACTTTAATATTGACAAGCTATCCATTAACACAAGCTCCATATCTCAAAGATGAGCAGCGAAAAATCCACGGTTTTCAAGTGAATATCTGCACATTTATCGAACGTCAAAACATCCGGCGATCTCATTAAACGATACACATTTTATCATGTTCAATTTGAGGGCATCCTTATGTCCACATGAATTATAAGCTTTAAGGGTGGATCTACCAACCATTCCATTGTGTACGAACAGTACTTACCATGGGTGCTGGTAGACGATATCCTTCTTCAACCCGATCCATTACCTGAAATGGAACATTACAAAAACGCTGGTCAACTGCAATGCATTTTGAGCATATAGCGTGCATAGCAATAACATAAAACATCGATCGTGATATTTCGGCAGCATCACTGCAAAGTAAGCAGCTGCATAGAGTGGATTTCGTATGAGTGGGACACCGTTACCGCACGATTACCGCACAGTTACCGGACCTGGCCTGCAGAATTTTGATGAAACAATGGGGCACTAGAACTTGGTTACAGTACGATTACGGTCACCCTACAGTACCGTCCGTTTCCCACTCATACGAAATCCGCTCTATCTTTTGGTAACGTAAAAGATTTACAGAAACTTCTGATGTGGTGACAGAATTAGCAATATTACAAATTCTAACCTGGAAGTTATCCCAGTCCCAGTAAGGTCTGTCTGAAAATGACATTATTTCCCAAAGAAGAATCCCAAAGCTCCATACATCACTAGATGAGCTGAATTTCCTGTAACGAATGGCTTCAGGTGCTGTCCACCGTATTGGAATCTTACCACCCTAATTCCAAAAAGAATAGAATTCAAACTGAAATGTTGCTTTATGAAACTCTTTCCATTATGTTTTTATGAGATTGTTTTTTATGAGATCAAAAGGTAGAATTTCAAACTCCATGTGGTCATTGGCATACCTGGGTTGTGTACTCGGAATCTTCATTATCTTCACTCTCGTTCAATTCGCGAGATAGACCAAAGTCTGACACTTTACTTGCCATATTATCAGCTACAAGAATATTACGAGCTGCCAGGTCCTGCAGAAAACAAATTAAATACGAATGGAAGTTATCAAGTCTTTTGTTCGAGAAGCTCGATCGAAAGATGGCACCTAAATTTACTGTCAGATTTTTTCCATTTGTTGGATTTCTGTGACAAAGTGGGGAAAAGGAGACGGACTACAAAGGGTGTAAGATACTCTTACTCAGCTAACACAGGACGGCCGTTATAACTGGATAGACGTTTATAGATTTTATGGTTTTGGTTTTGGATTTATCGCTTCCACATTCTTACCCTGTGTATAAAATTTATTCCAGACAAGTATGTCATTCCAGCAGCTACGCCTCTTGCCATACCAAGTAGCTGAAGCACTGTCAACTTGCCATCATGTATCTACAAATAGCAAGTAATAACTAGAAATATAATATCCAGCACCATGCATTCTT